CAGTGTGAGCTGTGGCAAGAATGTTCTATTTCTGTCTTTATGAAGTGTGTGTTATAATTACATACATACTTCTATACGATGGACGTATAGTTTCTCTCTATGTAATTTGGACTTCCGTTAGTAAACTAATTTTTCATGAGTTTAATTTCCTTCTACATTTTTATACAAAATGTGCCTTGTTCTCCCTTTTGCTGATCTCCTTCGTCCCTCATAATGGAGTGTCTCAGAGGGAACACTTTAGTTCCCTGGAACAGTCCTGCTTATTAGTCTTTTTACCTTTTGTGGCTTGTACTTTTGGTACAGTGATTCAGAACTTCTTGCCTAGCCTTATTCCATAGATTTGCATAATTTGGGACAAAGATTTTTAAAAACTTTTTTATTTTTAACTTTATAAGACATCTTACATTTTGTACACAGTGTAAGACTAATGTTAGGGCTCACATTTTGTCCCTCATGGCTGTGTAGCTGCTCCAGGACCATTTGGTAAGGCTCGATCATTGTTCTGTAGAAGGGCTTAGTGCCTCCTCTCTCCTGCGGACCACTCTCCTGTGCCCATGTTGTCACGGCCCGATTCTGGATGCCCCTGGTCCTTCCCATTGTCCAGCGGCTCAGCCACACGGTCAGCAGTGAGTCTTGGAGTCGGGAGCCCTGTTTCCCTGTTTTACTCATCCATTTCACAGCTGTACTGAGTATTCAGTGTGCCTCACTTTTCCTATTTTGCAGTAATCTTGTTTTTAGGGAATTATATTAAGATTGCCTGTTATTTTTGGAGATAACCATGATCTTTACTCTGCTGAATTCTCAAATCCTCACAGACACTGTGTCTCTCCACTTATTTGTCTTACATTTCCTTCATTGAGATTGCTCAGCTTTTAATATGCAAGAACTGGGCGTGTTTTGCTGTGGCCACATCAGCTGTTTGGTAGCTCACCATCAGTTCTATGGCAGCTACTGTCTTGGTGAGTATTCTTTACGCTGAGGAAATCCCCCTTCTTCCTGTGTTTTCTGAGGGTATTTATCATGCCTGGGAGTCAAGTTTTGGGCAAATCTTTTTCCCGTAATAATTGTCATGATAATATAGATGTTTATGGGGTTGATTAGATGGACCAATTTCAAATATTGAAACAAATTTGCTTGCTCAGGATAAATCCCATGTGAACACTACACAGGATTTATTGTATATATTTGGCTGCCTTCTAATTGCAAGTAAAAAAATCATTTAAAATTTTGGTGGAATATTAATGGAGGATCCTGATTTGTAGTTCTGTCTCACTTGTGTTTCTCCAGTTTTAGAAATTGATGAGAGGTCATTTATATATATAAAACTTTATTTGCATATTTTAATTCTATTAACTTTTCTCTAAATATGTGTAATTCTCTTGTTTGATGCAGATATCTATAAATATTATAAGTTCTCTATTATTCTATGTTTATCTCTCTTTTTCTTTAATTCGGATTGCTTTAAGGTCTACCTTAATTATCATATACTTACACTAATTTACTTTAATCCATATTTATATGATATATTTGTTGCCATTTTTTAATCCAAGAAGACAATACTATTACTTTTTAAGCAAATACTCCTAAATAGCATACATTTGGATCATGTTTTTTAATGAACCTCTATTTAAGTTGGATATTTAAATCATTTACATTTAATTTAATTAGTAATACCTTGAAGATCAAGCTGTTATTTTATTTTTAATGCTCTGCTTATTCTTTGTAAGACTCGTTTCATCATTTTCTCTTCTATACCTGTGGACAAATTACTTAAATAGCTTTTAGTATTTTATTTTTAATTTACCTATTGCATGATAGTTATCTCTTGGCATAGCTTTTAAACTGTTGTTTCTGTAGCTACTATATTGTATTTAAAATGTCTTGACTACCTAGAAACCTGCATTACTCATTCACCAGAGCAAGTGAAATATGAAAACATTTCCTCTATTTTCCTTTACTCTGTTGCTGATATCTTAAGTCTTAGTTTTATCTCAGGTGTGGATTCCACACATAAAATTATTCCGGGCAATGTTAACCTTTTTACTTCAGTCATATGTTATAATTTAGAAAATGTGAAAAGAAAGAGGATGTATTTTCTTATATTTTGCTCACTGTGTTTGTTTTTTCATTAATTTCCTAAGTTCCTTGTTTCGTCTTTTCCCTCTTTGTAGAACACCCTGCAATCATCCTTTTAGTAAGGCTTCTGAAACCATATTGCTTTGCTTAGTGTAAGCATGCCTGACCTTCCTTTAATTCTCCAAGCACGTTTTTGCTTGCTGTAGAATTTGGATCAACAATTCCTTGCTTTGTACACTTCAGAAATAATGCATCATTTTCATTTGGCTTTCACAACTTTTTTATGAAAAAATCACTGTAAATATAATTTTCCTTTGACATATAGTGTTACTTTTATCTGATTTTGAAAATATCTATTTTATTTAATTTTCAGATACTTAATTTTAATATGTCTTGCTGTAAGTTCTTTTTTGGGCTGCGATGCCTCTTAAATCTACAGATTTGAGAAGCATGCAGCAATTATTTCTACATTTTTTAAAAAACCTTTTTCCTTTTCTTTTTTGGAAACTCTGTTGACACAAAAGTTAGATATTTCACTGTAGTCCTACAAGTCCATGAAGCCTTGCTCATTTTTAGGGAAATATTTTCTATGTTGGGATGTTTTTCTCTTGTTAGAGTAATTATTTTATATACTTCAGTTCAACGATTCTTCCCCACGGTGCTCATTTTGCATGACTCCCTAAGCTGAGCTTTCTATCGAGGCTGGTGTATTTTGCTGTGCTAAAATTACCCTTTGATTGTTCTTGTTTCCTCTCCACAAACTTCTGCTTCTTCTACTTTTTTGCTTAAAATTTCTGTTTCTTTACTTAGTCTTTCTATTTTTTCCCACTTTCACCAAACATGTTCATAATTGCTTCTTTTACATTTTTATCACAGCTTCTTTTAAAACTACACATTTTAGAAAACTATAACCTCACTGTTCTCCCCACACCGCCATCCGCTGATTATCTTCTCTCATTTGATTTGTGATTCTTCTGGTTCTTATTATATTAAACTCTTTTTTTTTTTTCAGTTCTGAACATTCATATTAGGGATTCTGAATCTTAGGTAACTTTTTCCTTAGCCGGATTTCCATGACACCAACCAAGCAGGGAAAGAGAACGCATACATTGCTTCTAAGTAGAAATAGATGTCCAGGTGTCCCACTGAACCTCGCTGAGCGTTGCAGCAAGGTCTTGCCTCGTTATCGCCCAGCACAAGTGAGAATTCTGGTCCTCCATTTGTCTCCACTGTCCCTAAGAGTTGGCACTCGAGGAATCTTATTATTGCTCAGTGCTGGAGAAAACTTCCCTCCTTAAAAACCATCTGACAGAATCACCTCTTTGAAAGAGGTGAGAGTTGTCTTCTCACTTGTTGAAGAAGATGGCAATTTGGGACCCATGTGTCCTCTACTTTCACCATCAAAAGAGCAAAAGATACCCTTATTGGCTAACACAAAGGAATGCCCAGTCCCCACCTGAGCTTCTGGGACTTCATCCTGGCATGGGATTGGGGTGCTTAGTTAGAGCATTCTTGAAGAGATTATCTAAAGTTTCCAGCGTAGCCTTGGCTGATATGGGTGAGAGCAGAGTCATAGCTCACCTTCAGTGATCTCTTGTTGTTGGAGACTGGCTATGTTAAAATGCTTCCTGCAGCCATATTTCAATTTGTCTGGCTTTTGGGTTACAGAGAAAGCAGACATTCATTGTCTATTGGAATTTCCTGGTGGCTAGCATTTAAACCTGCATGCCTAACATACAAGTGGCAAAAATAAAAATACAATAAAATAGAAAATAAATCCAAGTAAACTACTGTGTCTTTTTCCTGATCCTGAACTTATGAATTGTTCTGTTTTCTGTTCTCAGCTTTTCACTTTTCTTAGGTTTTGTTTACATATAGCATTCAGGGAATTTAGTACACTGAAAAGTCTCTCTTGTAGCCTTTCCCAAATCCAAAATCAAGACAAATCCAGGGGAGGATCCTCCCACTGGAAAGCATGTATTTATTTAAGAAACAGAATGTATGCATTTTCAGCACTCCAGTCCCCTCAGTGACCATACAAGATTTAGTTATATTGCCTAGATGTGGCAGAATAAATATGCTCTTCCATTCCTTTGTAGAGCATTCAGTTTATTTCCGTATGTATTCTGTGCTTGTGAGTGGTAGGCCACATCTGGTACCCTGTGATGTTCTCACTCGTGCAGACGTAGAAAAGTGATTGATACCGGGCAAGGACCATGTCTGTCGCTGTACACTTTTACCACACTTCTACAGAAGTACACAAATATTCCTCTTTCTAAACCTGAGACAAAGTGTGCATTGCTGTTGCTTACATCATCCTGCTTTGCCACAGAATCCCAGAATGTTGTCCTCTCAGAGACAGTGACACTGACCTTCTCTTCCTCCTGTTCCAGCCTCCCCAGGCTCTGGGAAACCCAGTCCTGTGAGATCTTTCCTTTCCAGCTACTTAAAAGTAAAAGGATACCGTATTCTCTTTCTGTGCCCGACTTGTTTACTGAAGTTAATGTCTTTTAGGGCCATCCAGGTTTGTTACAAGTGACAGAACCTCAGGATTTACTTTTTAAAGTAGTAAGCCTTGAGGTGAAACCACAGATTTTCTAACTGTTCTTCTATGAATTTGGTACAGGTTGTTTGCCTACTCTATGTGGGTTGCTTCTAGTTTTCGACAGTGATAGAATAATCCTGTTGTATGTTGTCCAGTTCCTGAACCATGGGATTTGTGTGTACTTTTATTAAGCACACCCAGAAGGCTGACTTTGCCAGAGCCCAGAACAATAATATGCATTTTTCATAGATAACAACAAATCATTTTTCTAATATATAGTCATAGCATCAATATTTGAAATTTCTAGTTGTTTCTCATTTTTGTCAGGACTTGGTATTTATTGTTGACCCTTTTCATTTCAGCCAATCTTTCAGTTGTCTCACTGAGATTCATTTGACACCCTTCTCTGGACTAAAAACAATGTCTGTTGTTACATATACCACGAAGAAAGCAGAAACAACCCACACTAGAATACACGGAATGGACTGTCTTGCAGAGGTATCCTAGTCAGTGAATCCACTCCACGGGAGTTTGGGGCTAACTCTGTTCCGAGCCAATGTGTTGCTTGGACCTGAAGTGTCCCCCACAAACTCACATGGTGAGTGCGGAACTGTAACCAGGGCTTTTGAGCACTGAGGGGATCACAGTGACTCTGCTGTCCTCTGTGGGTTAATCCGTGGGTGAATGTGTGGATTCATGATTTATTGACCCCTGGAGAGGCAGTGGAAACACAGGAGGCGGGCTCTTCCGGAGGAAGGGTGCCCTGGTGGAGGGGGAGCCTTCCTTCAAAGGGGATAGTTTGTCGCCAGACACTGACTCTCTAGCCACTGCCTTTCTTTATCGGCTGCCATTTAGATGAAAAATTTGTGTCATTGTATCCTCCCTTCCCTGGGGTTCCACCTCACCAAGACCTACCAGAAACTACAGAGCAAGCCATCCTGGCCTGAAGACTCCCGAACTATGAGCCAAAACAAATCCTTCTTTACGTGGACACTCTCGGGACCTTATCACTGTGACAATGATCATGAGTGGCCTTTTCAGAAATGAGATGAGATTACCTTGATTTTAAGGAGAGCAGGGTCTGAGGTTTCCCTGTGAAAATGCTGGACGTTCATCGTACCAATGGAAACACCAAAACTAAGGTTGGAAAGCAGGGCACAGGCAGGGCGCGAGGATGACTTTCCAGCCTTCCCCTAGGTCGGCTGTGAGTAGAAGCTACTCCTGCCTGAGTCACCAGGAAGAACTTGTGTCTACCAGACAGGTCCACTGGGACCTGGACAAGGGCAAAGGAGGGTGGTGCTCACTGAACTATCCAAGAAATCCGATTTCACACAAAAGAAATACACCCTGGTCCACACGTCGGTGAATTCTAGCCTTGTGAGCAGATTTTCCATGTTCTGTTATGCATGAGAAGTTTTTTTGTTTTCTATATATGTATGAATTCCTGGTTTTTTACTTTTTTGGTCTCTGCTTTTAATGTAATCATGTATAAATTTTCCAGTGGCTTTTTATGTTTTCCACTAAAAAATAATGACAGGAAAAATAATGTAACTTGAGGGAGCAGAGCACTTTTCTCTGAGGTCCCTGCAGTCCCTCCTTCATTAGGTTTTGTGCTGGGAAGAGGACACTCTTCTGTGCCACGGGGTCTTCCCATGTAAAAGAGCAGGGGATATAGGTGTTTTCAGAGAGATGGCAGTTTCCCGTGGGATTATCATGAGACGGTACACTTACAGTAATCATTGTCAGGAGCTTAAAACTGGAGCAAGAATTGAGGATTTGTCAAAATGCTACTTAATTTCCAGTTATTCTAGAATAAATCATTAGGGTGAGAAAGATTCTGATGCTGGGATGCTCAGACGGGTTTCAGGCCACGTGAAATCCGCACAGTGCTGCAGTGTGTGGACCTGCACATCCATGTTTGTGTGTGGGCATCTTTCAGGAAGAGGGGTTTCGGGTGAACTTTTAAAGGGGTCGATGGAGCTGACATGGTGCAGGCCATGGTTAGAAGGTAAAGCATATTAATACATTATACATTATAATACAATAATATATAAATTATAATGCATTTTATAAAGCACTATATTAATATGTTATATATAACATTATATATGCATATTATATAAATATATATATATATATATATATATATATATATATATTTATCTTCCTCTGGACAATAGTTATTTAGAGGCACAGTTTGAAAGTTATTTCCTTGTATTTAGGGAATTCATTAATGTCTTTGATTACTTATGAGTTTTAATAAATTGTGATCAGAAGTGGTACCTTAAAAAATATAGTCTGAAGAACTTTTTGATCCATGGTGTGATTAATTTTTCATGAACGTGGGAGAAGCTGTGTACTCCACAGGAGGCAAATATATTAGTGCTATCTTATTTATTATGTTATTCAGAACTTATGTGTCCTTGTTTTCTGATGTCAGTCTGTCAAAGCCTGGGAGAAGCATACCAAGGCTTTATAGCATACTGGGTTTGTGTCGGCTCAGTGCTCTGTGTGTGTCAGTGCGATGGTTGCAATGCCCTGTCTGTTCTGTCTGTCCTGCCCAGCTGTGTCCTGCTCTGGTTTCCCCCCTCCTGGAATGTTAAGTCAATCTAAGATCTTTGGTTCCCCTGCCAGCACACTAACCAGCCAGTGAAGTGACCTAACCCCAGTGATATATCACGGCACAGTACCACCCAGTGTACCATGTGCGTTTACAGTTCTGAATAGGGAACCAACCGTGGAGAGCCCATGCCAGCCATGTGACCACCAGCAAGGCCAGACCAACACACATCAGTCCAGCGCCAGTGAGTACCAGTCCATCTGTGCAGAGCAAGGAGCCCTTGGTGCCTCTTTGGGAAGGCAGCCCTGATGTGCTCTCTCTCCGTGAGATGAGGCCATAGAAAGGGACAGCTTCCTGGAAAATCATTCTTGCTGTAGAGAGCACCTCCCAGAATAAATTAATATGGGAGCTCAGATAAAAGAGTAAAGAAAAAAGGCCCATGATGTAACTGTGTTCAAAGAAGTGCAAATAAAAGGGGCCACTATGGTGGTGTTATTTGAGCATCTGATGCCTTTTCTACTTGCTTCCTGCTGCCTTTACAAAGGCTAACCAATATTCTACTAGATCTCTACCAGTTTGTGCTTTGTCTAAATCACTTAAAATCCAGATCCTGCATAACCTCATTTCCTTTTATTCTATCAGATATTTCAAATGCACAAATTCAAACAAAACACAATGCTCATATGTTGATTATCCGTGCAGTACAAATACACATACTTCTCCCTGTTGAACGCACCATCACTGTGGACACAGTCACGTTTGTGGGTACTTTCTGGTTATCCTCTCCTTTCTTGGAAGTGCTTTCAAACATCACAGGCTACGCACCAAACCTACACAGTGTACCACCCTGAATATCTAGGTGTTGGTCCATATCACATAAATAGTATACTGTTTTCAAAGTTTACATAACGTATCCTTCAATCTCTAACTTTTTTCTTTCTGAAAACCATGACTCCTAGATTTAACTGCTGCTCTTAGACATTTCCAGTTTATTTTCAATGTTTGTAGTATCTCTGTGTATGAGTGGACCATGCTATATTTCCCCTCTTGCTGTGTTTTGGATGTTTCTCTAGGTTTTATTATTATGATGTACAATGTTGTGGAGCAATTCTTAAACTCTGAGGCAGAATTGCAAGGTTGTAGGACGCGTTTTCAAATTAACCATAAGTTGCCGGTATTTTTAGTCCCATTAACGATGCATGAAATTCCAGTTTCCCAAACCCTTCTCAGAAACTTTCATTACCAGATTCTGTCATGTTTGGAAATGTGACTGAAGTGGAAACTCTGCAGCTTTAACTTGCGTTTTTTCAGTGACTGTTTACTAGAAAACTGAGTTTTGACTGAAATGCTTGTGGACTAATTCAGATCAGTGCCTGGGCGTTACGTATTTTTCGTTCCTTTCTTTATTCTTAGGTTCTTAGCATCTTTATTTCTCTAAATTTTAAAAGATATTTAAGTAATTTGTTAGTTTGCGAATGTGTTAAAAATATCTTTTCTCAGTGTAGGGAAATTTGCAAAGTTGATTCACACTGTTTTATACTGCAGAGGAATTTAGCCCCTGCCCAGCCTATTGGTTTAGATTAGAAACTGATCCTCTATTATGATTTTGGGGATCATGATTTTCATTTGTTACATCATCATTTTTATTGAAAATCATAAAAAATTATTTTCCCTATTTTTCTTTGATATTTTGAAGTTACTATATTCATCTACCTCATTAATCAATTTGCAAGGACAGAAATAATGCAGGGATGGACCTCTGACTTTGGACAGTGTTTGGTTTCATTAGGAAATGGCCAGAGTGACCACTGCGGGGGAACCAGTGCTACATTACTTTACACAACTAAGGAAAGAGGAAAGATATCTTCAGCAGCAGGCTCCTTCCTTCTCAGTTCCAAAGCCGAGATTTTGCTGATTTTCTTTATTTTTTTAAATCAGTTTTGGAGATACATATTTTTGCAAGAACAAATTTAAAATTTATGAATTTAGGGATTTTTTTTTGTTTCACTATCATTTTCTACAATTATAGTTTTCCAGCATAATTTCTTTGCCCTTATTTATTTATGCTATGTTTCACTTTCTAGTTGGATCTGAGCTCACTGACTTTGGTCTTCCATGTTTCCTGACGTATACATTTATGACTACATTTTCCCATATTAAAAATCTATTTGCATTCCACATATTTCGATAAGTAGTATTTTTTGTTATTCAGTTTTATATTATTCACAACTTTTAATAATTTTAATTATTAATAAATCTTTTTTTTTATTCCTGATTTTATGCAGTACTTTCCACTATTTTTTGGTTTTTTAATGGTAGTTTCTAATTGTATCATTTTGTACTCAGAGAATCTAAGGTTATCTCTATGATGTATAAACACTTTTCATCTTGGATCAAGCTTTTTGGGTAAAATATAATGCATGCATTTTTCCACTTGGATGAATATAAGTAATTCTTTTAAATTTTATTTGCATGAATCTACAAATATTTGCTAATAGTGTTCTAATTTAGGGGTCACATTCTCAAAATTAGCACGAAAGGTTCATTACTTTCTTTGTGAGACATGTATCAGTTTTTATTATGAATTTTTAAGATTTTCCAGTTGAAATTTTTTGCGTGAAACTGCACCTTAATTGCTTCAGCTATAGCTAAATATTTAGAAAGTATCTCATTAAAAGTTCTCAGGTTCATCATATCAGTTTACCAAAAAAAGAGAAAAAACCTCGAAGATTCTCTGTAATTTTGCATAATACCTCCATAAATTTAATACATTTTTTCTTTCATAAGGATTTGCTCTGAAATAATTCTTTCTTTTTCTTTTTCAGTACCAGACCTTGCACTTGCCAGGCAAGCACTTATGCCACTGAAAGAATTCTTTACCCATTTTCTGTGCACTGTCCAGCAAAGCATTTTACCCTCCCTTTGTTTTGAAACTGCGTGCTGTCATATTTTTGTTTTGAAAAATGTCCATCAACATTTGAAACTTCATAAAGAGTAGCCTGAAAATGTTGTGCGTGTATGACAGTGTACACTTAAATGAGGATTCATTTCTGCAACTGAGTATTTTTATTTTCCAAAGGTTTCAAGTGCTTGTCTCTCTTTCCTCCTCATATTCTATCTTGCATTTACTGACTGCTCTGTTTCTTCCTTTTCCTTTCTTGTTATACTGAAATTAAATATCTTCATTGCTTTCTTGGGTATTAGGTTCTTAGCAGTTTCACAGGATTCTGCTGAAGACGTTATTACTCACCTTTGCATCCTGGCCTGTCCTTCACTTCATACACGTTTTGTGTTCAGTCATGATTGATTTACTCTGTGTGTGTGTGTGGATTACGTAAAAGACCAAGACACATTTGCATCTGACGAATAATTATTGTTCTTTTTCAAGCAGTGCGTTCCATTTAGGTTCAGAGTTCTTATTGACATAGGCACTTAATGAATATCTGTGAATAACACTTTTAATCTTTTTCTAAAAATGTTGCTCTGAGCTAAACATGGTGGCACACAGCTGTAAACCCAGGATTTTAGAGGCTGAATCAGAAGTGGTTTGAGTTCCAGGCCAGACTGAATTATAGTGATACACTGTCTCAAAGAACAAAAACATCTAGACAATCATTGAGCTAAGATTATGATGCTAAATAGTTTGAATTGAGAAACAGTATTCAGTTTAAATTCTGAAAAATAAAATCCTATTAGCTTGTTATATCCATTACTTCTAATGTGCATTTGATTACTGTAAGTAATCCATTTTTAGTTTTGTGTCTCTCAGTTTGCCTTGAGGTAGGTATATTTTTACTTGTCTGGGCACTGGGTTTTT